TGACCTTGCACGAACTCGAGTATGCTCGGTAGTTCCTCTTGTAAATTTTGGCACGTCTCAGTATTCTCTCGATACCACGATATCGCCAACAAATGTATCTTATTCCAACCGTCAACAGCCTTCTGCTTTTTTCCTTGAAGAGGGATCCAATTCAATATCTGCCACGTAAACTTCTTGTAGTGATGATCATAGTCAGTTGCGAGTCGACGCCATCTATACTTTCATTTTTTCAGTGGCGGTCTAGCTTAAATCAACTCGTTATTTCAACTGCCAAAAATATGTATAAATGCTTCATTTAAAATACTTCCTAGTAATAATAACACAAAGTAACATGAAAAATCGGCTTAGTCCAAAATAAAGAAACCATTATTCGTTTATTTGTAATATTCTTAATCCAACATCAATTTTAACCATATAAAACGAAGGCTCGCCAATTTACTTTGGCCATTTATCACTGGTAAAATTTGAAAGGCATGTTATTTAAGGATTCTGTGAACGTTTCTTTGTGACTGAAGAGATCCACGTTCAATCTATTGCAGATTTTGACTTGTGAAAATGGGATAATAAACTCTAATCATGATTTTCATATCTGCTTCTATCACCCGGTGTAATGTCTTCTTTGGCCTTCCTCTTTTCCACTTCCCTTCAGCATTCCACAACAAGGCTTGCCTCGTGATGCACATTGGTGATTTCCTTATTGTATGTCCTATACACTTCCAACGTCTTTTCCTAATTTCCTCGTCAGCTGGAAGCTGGTTTGCCCTCTCTCATAAAACTCTGTTGCTAATAGTATCCGGTCAGTGCCTGTTGAGTATCCTGCGTAGACAACTGTTTATAAATACTTGTACCTTCTAGATGATGGATGTAGTAGTTCTCCACATTTCAGCTCCGTACAGTAGAACTGTTTTGACGTTCATATTGAAGATTATCTCTTTGTAGTTAGTTGACAAATGTTTTGAGTTCCATATGTTCTTCAGTTGTAGAAATGCTGTCCTTTTTTTGCCAATCCTCGCCTTTACATCTGCATCCGATCCTCCTTGTTTACCAACGATGATCCCCAGGTACTTGAATGTTTCCACCTCTTCCAGAGTTCGCCATCAAGTGTGATTGGGTTGGTGTTCTCCGTGTTGCATTTTAGAATCCTGCTTTTTTTGTGAATGTGGAGACCTATCGATGCAGAGACTGCTGCTACATTTGCTGTCTTCATCTGCATTTGTTCGTGTGTATGAGAGTGGAGGGCTAGGTCATCTGCGAAGTCCAAATCATCTAATTGATTATGAGAAGTCCATTGTATTCCGTATTTCCCTTCAGATGTCGAAGTGTTCATAATCCAGTCAATCACCAGAAGAAAGAGAAAGTAGGAGAGAAGACAGCCTTGTCTGACTTCGGTCCTTACTGGAAATGCATCTGTCAGCTGTCCTCCATGCACCACTTTTCACTGTAGTCCGTCTTATGAGTTCTGGATAATCTTGACGATCTTCTTAGGAATTCCATAGTGTCGAAGAAGTTTCCATAATGTCCTTCAGTCCACAATATCAAACGCCTTCTCATAGTCAATTAGGTTAATGTATAACGACGAGTACCACTCAACTGATTGCACATCGATGATCTGTGCACGACCGATCCTTACAAATTTCAGCGTGTTGATCCCAAAGTTGAACGTCTACTTCGTCTTTCATCCGGTTCACCAATATTCTGTTGAAAACTTTTGCTGGTACTGACAACAAACTGACACCTCTGTAATTCTCACATTTTCTCAGATCTGCTTTCTTTGGCATCTTGATGAGGTATCTTTCTTTCCAGTCCATTGGCAGTTGTTCTTCCTCACAACTCTTCCTGAATAGAAGGTGAGTCATATTTGCAGTTACTTCAATGTCTGAGCTCAGCGCTTCAGCTGATATATTGTCAGGTCCTACTGCTTTCCCGTTCATGATTTGTCCGATGGCCATCTTGATTTCTTCTATTGTTGGTGGAGTAACATCTATAGGAAAGTGTGCATGCACTGCCTCAGTATGTGGTGGATTGAATAAAGCTGATCTATTCAGCACTTCCATGAAGTATTATACCTATCTTCTCCTCTGTTCTTCAATCGCCGTGATAATCTTTCCTTCTTTGTCCTTGATTGGTCTCTCTGGTTAACTATATTTACCTGCTAGATTCTTCGTTGTATCATATAGTTGTCTCATATTTCCTTCTCTTGCAGCTTTTTCCGCCGTCGTTGCTATTCCTCCCATGTATTTCTGCTTGTAGACTTTAATGCTTTTCTTCACTTCCCTGTTTGCTTCTGCGTAGTCTGCTTCTGCTTTGACTTTCTTTGATCGTGTTCGGCTGTTGTTAATTGCTAGTTTCTTGTTCTTCCTTTCTTCAATCTTGTTCAGGGTTCCCGTAGGGATCCATTCCTTGTGATGATGCTTCTTAGGACCAACAACCTCCTGACACGTTGAAGTTAGTGCTTCTTTTATCCCTTTCCAGTTGTCCTCCATCGTAGTTTCTTGTTTTTTAAGTAGATCCTGTAGATCTTGGAACCTGTTGTTGAGAGTTATCTTGAATTTGTTGAGTTTGCTAGCATCTCGAAGGAAGACTGCATTGAAACTTTTTAATGCTGTTTGTCCAGTTGTCCAGTGTTTCTTTAGCCTCAACCTCATCTTGGCCACAACCAGGTGGTGATCTGAAGCTATGTCAGCTCCTCTCCTGGTTCTCACATCTTCCATTGACCTTCGGAATTTTTTGTTGATACAAATATGATCTATCTGGTTCTCTGTGATGTGGTCCGGTGAGATCCATGTAGCTTTGTGTATGCGCTTGTATGGGAATATTGTGCCGCCTATAACCAATTTGTTGGATGCACATAAATTTTCAAGTCTCTCCCCATTTTCATTTCTCTCTCCTAGTCCATGTCGTCCAATTATATCTTCATATCCTGTGTTGTCTACTCTGACTTTAGCGTTTAGATCTCCCATCAGGATGGTCAGGTCCCTTCTTGAGTATTTAGCTATAATTGATTGCAGCTTCTCATAGAACTGTTCTTTATCGTCGTCGTTGCTATCATTGGTGAGTGCATAACACTGGATAACAGTCATTGTGATCCCCTCCTTTGTTTTGAATGATGCTTTGATTATCCTGGGTCCATGAGAGTCCCATCCTTCAAGTGCATTTCGTGCTTCTCTGGACAGCATTATAGCAACTCCCTGAGTGTGTGGAGCATTTTCTTCTTCATGAACAGAGTACAGCAGCATCTCTTCCGTATCTTGCCTTTGTTGTCCAGCTTGTGTCCAATGGGTTTCGCTGATTCTGAGTACTTCCAATTTGAATCTTCTCATTTCCATTGCTTTTTGACTGGTCTTCCCTGTCTTTCACATTGTTCGGACGTTCCATGTACCTATAAAAATTGTTGCTCTAGTTGTCTATGGTTAGATCGCACAGTAATTGCGTACTTCAGCAATTTATATTTATATTTATCGTAAACCTATGCCTTTGTATAACAAAAGGAAAATGAGACGGACCTGTGGAATCACTTCACTACGGTCATCTGGAAACTGAGATACGTTAGGTGTATCAGACAAGAAATAAGATGAAAGTTCATCAGGTTCCTTCATTGAGATCTAAACATAGAATATTGTTGTTAACACTACCCATAATCGAATTGACTAGATATCAGACATGATACCAGTATAAATAACAGAAAACCCATTTTCCTATTAGTTAGCAGCATAATACTCGGTAAATCACTAGGCCTTGACAGTTGACATCTACCATGACCCTTCATTCTCATTTGCATGGTAGCTAAAGCAATAGAAGGAATAATGCATAATAGGATGCCAAATCGTGTAAAATCGAATAATCTGCTGGCTTTGATGCAATATGATCTTTGATATAAACGTCCCTCCTCGGCCGACCTTCAAGAGATGAGAGATGGAAGAGTAGCCCAAAATTACGTTTTACTTCATGACGAAATATTCATGGGTGTCACCAAGGCACTTGATAGCGTGTCTTAGTCAGAGTTTATGAGAAGCTTTCAATTATATTAGCTTCACAACACTACTCAAGTCCTCGATACTATTCATTACAAATGATGTCAATGTCTGAATAATGATAAGTAGTAAGGCTGATCAAGATGACTTCCAAGCTGGCTTATACGTTGTAATTTGGTCCCAAAATTTGAACATAAACGACAATTCGAATAAGAATGACATAATGCACGTAAGATATGGTTACAGACACTCGTGTACAACCGATGAAACTGTAATTCGCTACTCAAAAATAACTTCCTACTTCAGCCGAGTCGTTCTCAAAGTCTAAACGTCTCTCAGTCACTCTCTAGAACTCTTAGATTCTTTTGCCTAGAAATGTTTCGCATATTGAGGACTAACAGTGTGTGACCTCAGCTGGAATGTAGCATCGAGAAAGCAAGTCCATAACTTATTAAAGATCCCGGAAAAATCAGGCGTATTCAGTGGGTGAGAAACAAGTTGTGGACAGGTTCTACAAACTTACCTACGCTACAACCTTCTCCTCCTATATTATCGTAGTAAGCGAGGTGAGTTCAAATTAAAACTCATTATCTCAAACAATGATATGAGTGTTACCATATCTTTTCCATCCGATTTCTTTTATGACAATTAACTCTGTGACCATCAAAACAGGTTCAAAAGCTATAGTCGAATAAAAATCTGTTGAGATTTCTTTTTATCATCAAGTGGTCAAAGACTGGAACATTCGACCAGAGATGCATCAAGCCCATTATTGAGTTATTTGTAGCAGAACCTGGTTTCCCAATGGAAACTTAATATCAAAATACATAAGCTGAACAAACAAAGTGACATCCTTTTTACTAGATATTGAAAAAGGATTTATCCAATTAGAACATCTAGGTCGTCTGTACAAAATAAAGATCATCAACCCTTTAAAAGACATGGAAGCATATATTTATATTAAAGCCGACTTCTCAGATCCAAAAAGTTAGTCCGTATACTGTGAATTGTTCGGTTAAATTTGTTTGCCCGCATCATCTAAAGATCTCTACTCAAGGTTGCTTTGGAAGAATCTGACTCGACTTCAAAGTTGAGCTGACAAACTTACCTTCAACCCTTCAAAGTGCAAAGTAGTCTATCTGCGATATGTTGTAGACTATAGTTACAACTTAGGAAACTCCTCTTTAGAAGTATCCCAAGTCGAAAAAGAGTGTAGGTACCCTACGACTTGAAGTCGTACGCTAACTGTGACAAAAACGCTTTTCGAGCAAACCTTGCTCTGGTAACATTGAAGCGCATTTTTGGCCAGTTTGACGGTAGAACTTTCCATATAATTCTCAACAGTTTTATTCGTCCCCATTTAGAGTACGGAAACACGGTATTTCCTCCCTCTCTCCAAAAGGATAAGGTTACTCTGGAGCATATCCAACGGCAAGCCACGAAATCAGTTCGGGGACGCAAATTCAAACTTTATGAAGAACGCCTCTAATCAATTAACCTTTACCCGTTAGATTACAGGCATCTTAGAGGTGACCTTATAACTTAAAGTATCCTTAACACTTCTGGTCATCTCCTTAAACATCTTAAGCTTAGTCACAACGCTAACCTAAGAGGTAACACCCAGGAACTGCAGACCCAACATAGCAGAACAGACTGCAGACACAACTACTCCGTAATCCTGAAATTCGCTGCCGACTGAGCTAGTCCAAGCGACTTCCAGGAGTCCTTTAAGAAGAAACTTGACTTATTCTTAAGGACTAAGGATAACATTATTATGATTTACCAAATTCTTTTTTTTTCCTCTATTATCGTTAATATGCCTAGGTTCCTGCCTGGAGGTATTGGTGATCCACTGCTACTAGACACGGAAGCCCGTTAAGCGAAAGCTATTTCTTCCCCAACCATTTTAACTTATGTTGCGGCTTCGACCAGTTCATTATTTTCGTTGCTCGTACTTCACAGGTTCTTTCAGTTATATTAGCGAAGAACTGTTTCATCCTGATCATTTACACGTAAAAACGATAACGAATCTTCTTCTCGGCGTTCACGATCAGCTAGGATTGCCGTGGGGACTGACAATTGCAACCACTGCTATCCTAGTACGAACAGTTGTCGCTGTTCCATTGTATATTTACGCTGAGAGGAACCAAGCTAAAGTTTCACATATTGCAATTGAATGTCAACAAAACCGACAGATGATACAAGCGAAACTTAGTAATGCTGAGTATTATCGTAATTTAAGTAATAAGAAACAATTACTTCTTGAAAATCAACTGGTAAGGTTCTTTGAATAAATACATACTTCAAGTTCAGACGTTTCTTCATTAAAACATGTGAAGAAAATGGATGTCACCCATTGAAGTCGTCAGTTACAGGAATAATCCAAATCCCATTGTGGCTCACATTTACATTCTCCATCAGATACTTGAGCGGATTCCAACTGTATCCGCAATTCGATTCCAATCATCGTAAGTTCCGTAACTTATTGGCCGTTACCAGTTTTTTTCACCTGCGTACTCGAAAATAATCTCATCCTAAAATATCTGGGAGCATAATATGCTATTGTCAGTAGGTCTTCCGCGCTAGATATGACGTTTTATAAATCAAGAATATTTTACAGAGAACGTTCATCAACCACAAGTTGTGTTTGATCTAAACCCTTCTCAGAGCTATTTCTAGGATACTATAAAGGCAAATATTCCTCCACCCACTAGTAGTTCCTTAAGCAAATGTTCCTAATATTCTCAACATGTTACATTGTATAAGGAGGAAGTATCTGCTAAGTAATATTTTAGCTAAGACAACAAATGCACACTCCGGCAGTTATAAGCGATTGCATCTCAAAGATTAGATATAATGAGGTCTCAGCATCCTATGAATACTCGGTTTGCAACCATTGTTCGTAAAAATAAGGACCAGCACTTAATACCATAGTGTATGCTTTCAAATAAAGTTTATAACATGTATCGATGCTCCGATTCTTAGTTTCAAGTTGCGTATAAACGTTTATCACCATATGTTTGTGGTCCAGTGAAGCGAGAATCATAAGTTAACCTGTAAAGTCGTCTACTTATGAACTAGTGTCAAAAAAGGCTCGTCAATTTTCTGTCATGTGATCCTCGTTACACAGAGCAATGCTCAATATAGTTGTACGATCTCATCAGGCTATTAAAGTTTGTATGGTGTTGGCAACGATCTTAATTTGCTTTTGTCAGTTATTAATAGTTGTATTCGTGAAGGTTGCTTTTGATGCAATTCTCCATCGTTAATAAAAAGGCGAACCAGTATAACAGCGCAGGTTTACATCTCCAAAACCAAGATCACTTGTGAAAGTAAGGCAAAACATCCAGACTACAAAATCAAGTGAATTAGTGTTGTTTCGACTGATTTTCTAATGGTGCATTTTCCTTCACTTAATAGTGATCGCCGATTCGTCTCTCAACGTTCCGTGCTCAGGTTTCCTGCTTCCCTTCATGTGCACGTTAGCCGGGGTGGCAAATGTTGAACTGGCGTGTTTAAGACGGCCTCTGTTCTTCAATCCGAAATCTAATTCTGTGATACCAGATCCTTTACCTTATAATATTGTGCGGTTTGCTGGTTGGGTTGGAAATTTCACTCTTTTCGCGTGTTGCAGCTTTTTTCCAAAGGTAGGTTGGTTGCACTATGTGTTAATATCCTAGGCATTTGTGATCTATTGGTGTACATCTTCAATTCATCAACTATGTGTACATCTTCTGATAATGCACCCTTATTTACGAAGATTATTTGGTTTATGGACCATACCCCATGAGGGACAGTACCCGTATAAAGTCCTACTTAAATCGATGTATCATCGCTATAACATATCAAAATGGTTACAAAATAAAAAGTTATAAGTAACGATTAGTTACAAGCTTTTTACTTGTGTCGCACTTTTGATTAACTTAATTTCTACTTTTACATATTATTCATCGGTACTCCCAACAGTGGTACCAGGAATCAAAAGATAAATAAAACATACGTATGGAAAATGATTTCGTTAAATTCTTCATTTCCAAACTGAGAAAGAAAATTTAACATGCTAGTAATGCTGAGATAGCTGTAAAAGTTAAACGTAATAAAAGGATTATCATGAAACTTGTTGGTCCGGTGGTAATCCTCGTATAACATCACATCATTCAGATTAAAGTGGAATCTAGTTATATCTACCAGATATCTATTAGTGGGTAACGAGTTGAATAATAAAGATCAAAGAATAGAGTAACCTAGAAAACCAGGTTAGAAATGGCTAATCAGAATTAGCGCTATTTTCTTATGTAGGAAACAACATGGCGGGACATGTCGTTTTTGGTGGATTCGCAATTAAAAAATAACCAGTGAGTATGCTGGCGTCTTCGATGAGCTACTGTGATAAGTTTACGGGATAACTAAGTTGTAAAGGCTTTATACTCACAACAATGATGAATTGGTGAAGTGTAAAGGGACCAATTGCAATGGACATAGGTAGTGAAAACATAAAAAATACAATGTTTGGTGATTTCGGATATGCTACTGATAAAATTTCGAAGAATTATACAAAAACCCATTGTATATGCATTTCTCTCAAAACAAACCGAAGAACCTATTAAAGTACGACGGGATTTTTCTCGAAAACTGCCTCAGTTCTTTCATGAGATTACGAACTACTGTCTAATAAAGTGGGGATTTCCGTCTGATGAGTGAAAGGTGGTTGAATTCAGATTAATTTAAAAGTCACCTCAAACCAGACTTGCTATATCGTACTGCTTATAAATTATTTATAGCATGATGTGATCAGTTATAAATCGCAACGATCCGTTTATCTACGTCACTGTGCACATTTTATATCTAGTGAGTTTATGGACAGCTTGAAACCATAAACCGAAACGTTAAATTTCTGCTAGCCTGTCTATTACCTATTTCCAGCTTTCAGAATAATCAAAAACTACCATCTGTAATTTCAATAATGATATATTGTTAAAAAAACATTTAATAACAAAACTGTACATCGCTCCTCTCGTTTCACAATTCAGATATGTTAAATTAACTCTCCACATCGAGAAATAATAACGGGTTCTTTGACCTTACCAGATTTCGATCCAACGGACTACAAAACCATTAGAAAATTTATTAAGTACAATATGGAAATCTAACACATGATACGATAACTTTAAAAAAGGAGTTGCATGCAAAAATGATACAATGAGAACTGATAAATACAGTTTTTGTTGATACAGTAAAACTATACTATACAGCTTAAATCTGACGCAATGGATATATAGTAGCCTAACATTAAATGGCTAGTAATTAAAAAATCTATGTATCAACGGCAAACATAACTAAAAAATTTTGGAACTATTTTAAGGGTGTTAGTGCATTTCAATTTCTTACTCTGTCCAAATGGTGCCTGAAACTCATTATCAACATTGCATAAATTATGTTAATAATTGGTAAGCAGATAAGAACTAACCTCCATCTTTTTAACGACATTTTGTCCATCCACTACTCGACCAAAAACAACATGTTTGCCATCAAGCCTATAAAAAAGACGTTAAAAGAATGTGATAAGTGTCTGAGGTCATCTGTACATTCATAAACAGAAAACTCCGAGTCAGTAAAAATAGGCTTTGTTGTTGAGATTTTATGAATATTTATTTAATTATAGAGAAGTTCGAAATCAAGAAAATACTAAGATCGTTTTGAAAAGTTGGTAATTTGGAGCCGAAGTACTTTAGATAATAACGTTCTTGAGAAAAAAGATACTAAAAATCTAGTTTGGATAAATAACACAATAAAGCTATTTGATGTGTGAAAACCATGTCAGTAATTCTGTGGCTGCACGTCAGATGTAGTAAGATCGTTCTAAAACGTCAGTCCATTTTTTTGTATGCTTTATGGATGACCTCTTCGCAGTCCCTCCATTGAGGAATCCTAACACCATGACAAAATGAAAGTTAGTTTACGACTTGGAACATGTAAGGTTAGCATCTCTTTGCACAGGACTAATAATAGGATCTTAAAGTCCACAAACCCAAGTGGTTTGAGATGTAATTCCAAGCGTAGTTTCTGTTTGTGTTTCAAAGAACTAGTAACATTTAAGTTATATCGCTCGATATATTACAAACATCACTTTACAGTGCTGTTCTTACGTATTTTTGGTAATTCTTAGATTATCACATACCACTCACGAGTCATGCTTAATAAAAATATATCATAGAATAAATTGACTTTTTTAATTATTTCGATAGAATCATTTTTAACAACCTACACAGGCTAAGAGGCGACATGAAAAAAGTGCTGATTATGGATAATAGCGATATAAATGCGGCTCATCGAAAAGTATATATACATAAGCTCACCAATCACATTTTGTTGTGCAAATAAAGAACTGAGATCCATTTGTATTTGGTCCAGAATTCGCCATGGAAAGAACACCTAAGAGAAATAATGCAATTGATGTAAGGCAAACAATAAAGCCTATTTAAAATGAAAAAATACAAGTGTAATAATATTGAACTTAATTACTACTTGCTTGACATTATTGTTAAATAGCTAGCTCATTTTATTAGGTTATCGGTACGATATATCTGCTGAATTGGTCAGATGTCGTTGTTTATTTAACTAAGTTAAAGGAATTTGGAAAACTGATTAATCTACCATAAACAACAAACGTGAATTTAATAATTACGCTATCCTAACAAGAAATCTGTAACTTGAAAGTGAGCAACAGTTTCATCACCAATAATATTTGCACTACTATTCAGTAGTCATGAACTATATTATTACATTTTATAGAACAGTTACATCACATTGACCACACTTCTGGCACACAACACAGTACTCCACAACCTCAGCGAAATTATGGCGGATCAACCCACTAAACGAAGTTTGGATAATATGAATAAGTGGACTAACGCTGACCCACCTCAGGGGTTACATTATTTCTTAGATAACGGTTTACATCAGTATGTACTGCTATTAACCGGCGTATAATAGTGAAGAACCGCGCAAACTGGAATCACATTACCTGTTGTCGATCCTCATCAAACGTACAGGCTCTCATCACTGTTCATTCATTGCACACAATACCGTGCACTGAAGTATGATGTAATGTCACAAACGTGGAGCTTCTCTTTCAACTACATTTGTTGTCCTGTTGTCTAAAGAAATCTCTTCAGATTCACTAGACTTGATTGAATATTGACTTCCATCAGTTGTGGGGTAGGCGACATGACTTTCAACCAAAAGACGAATATACTGATCAGTAGTTCGACGTTTTACTTTATGATGGTGGGAAAAGGTCTTCAGAAAGAACGTTTTAAGTCATTAGTACTTGATCACAAATGCCTTCGGAACACGGCTCTTATATATTGGGACCGTCAAATTATCAACTCTGAGGTTAGATGCAGAATACTAGGCAAGTATGACAAGTCGATTGACGATGTAGTCAATCTTTATCAAATCAGGTGGTTAAGATGTGTATTACGTAAGCTTATCCAACAACTACCTCGGCGCGCCACGATAGCTGGTGTGGAAGTGGGTTGGCAGAAAGCTAAACCAAGACATGGTATCAGTACACAAAGTAAATGCTTATTGATCTGAGCCATTTCGGTAGGTGCATACTACGTCGTTGGGGTTCATGCGATAACCGCAACTAGTCGGAGTTGGAAATCCGTGGGGTATGGTGAGGTGTTATACTTTTGGAGTTGAGCATTTGTAGCCCCATCCGTTGTTAGAAGGCAGCATCAGTGCAGATTCTGATTGTCCGAGGGGAATACTTTAATGCCGTCACACCCCTTTACAGTCAGCAGTACAACTTCGCCGTCGGACCTTACGTCACTGCTTATAGTCTTGCTGTTCTCCAACATGGTAGCACCTGAAGGAGCACTCGTTCCAGCCAAAAAACTCGGTTGGGTCATCCCGATATATAGCAGCTATGTTCGGGTCATGAGACTTGTCCATCTACAGAACCGAATGCTACCCTAAGGTCAAAAAATACAACGATGGCTGGAAGTTGGTAGGTATTTAGCCGGTACATTTACGTCCTGGCTTGAAACCAGCCTAGTCTCTTGACCACTAGTTAAGAATTGGATGATTATTTAGGCTGTTTTAAATTCTAAATAAGCCAGACTGATTTCTCTGTGGCTATCATAAGAGGATATTTGTTCTTTCTTACGGATTGAAACGATCAGCAATCGAGACCATTCATATGATATTACTTTCAGTCTCCAGATTCTAGCCAATACCTCAGTTAATGTAACTGCTGAAATGAGACCCTTGTTTTTAGAGATCTCTGATGTCGACCTATCAGTGTTCGCTCCCGTCTTCCTTCATACTAGCTATAGACTTTTATAAATTCACATGTGCTTCTTAACCTTTTGGTTTAAATCACTAGAAGATATAGCTTTTAAAACCGTCTGAATGTCATGCCAACCTGCTTTGAGACGAACATTACTTGTTTGACTAACCCCTCCAGTTGTCCTTTAGACGTGTTCTTCACAATTTCATCGCTAGGTTGCTGTGATTCTTCTGCCCCAGTAAGACGCACATAAACACATTCGCATCTGAGCAGTCTAAATCTTGTACTCTAAAATGAACGGCGGTGTTCCATCAAGCCTTTTTAGAGATAATTGACGGCAACGTTGTCTATTAGGATCCACCTCTGTGCTCATTTTGGGAGTCGCCCTGACAGACGATGTTTTCGCTTATGCTCAACATTGGTGCTTGTAAGAAATAAGCGGTTATTTGGGCAGAGTTGCACCAAATGGTTGCCGCCATCTATTCTTTGAGCTGGAACACTGTAAGACTTACCCGAGTATTTTTCGGTTTAATTTAGCATATCTACCGGGCATTAGATTAAAGTGTTACGGTTACATCTAAGCGTTCCACTTTTGGATGGGCAGAAGTTTTTCCATAAAAATTTTTTTCTTTGGAACTGTACTCAGTGGGAGTGTAGGTGGAGATGACGACGTATCGTAATATATCCATGCCTTTCCGAGTTCTTAGTGCTCCGTTCAGTTGGATAGCGCACAAGTGATAAGCAAGGAAATGTGTAGTCTTTTTAGTACCGGTCTTTTCCAACCTCTTCCGTGTTTTAAAGGCAGCATCACTATATATGCTGGTTGTCTAAAGGAATCATTTTACTGCTGTCACACTCTTGTACAATCAACAATACGGCTTTGTCATCGGATCTCAAGTTGATACTTTTAATTTTGCCGTTCTCCAACTAACCTTTATGACGTGGTAGGACCTACAGGAACAAGTATTCCGGCCAATATGACTTGATTGGATCATTACAATAGGCGACCCCGACCATCAATGTGGCAACCACAGTCGAGATGGTAAACTATCATAAAAACATGTATGTCTAACAGTCGTAGCAGCGAAAACTAGGATCGACCGTACTTCCTAATTAATAAAACTAAATCGGATAGAGTATGGTTTTTTACCTAAAATTCAACAACTGAGTGTCAAATGCCTGTTACCGAGACATTCATTTACTGATGATTTTGTGCTTAAATCATGAGGTGTGATTGGTATACAGATTTCGAATTTTCATAGTTGAAATCATGAGGCAATTGAAGCTAGCCCACCATGGAAAACCTGGAAGAACTCGACGTCCGTTGCGTCCTATTGTGGGACTCCTCAGCAGTGCGCATCCACGATCCCGCACTCGCGAGGTTCGAACCCAGGACCTACCAGTCTTGCGCCTGAGCACTTAACAAATAGACCACTGAGCCGGCATCCAACGGTGTTAATGTCTAACTTCTAATTGATGGAATATCTGCTCTAATCTATTTCAAAACTATGGTACATCATATGATAATCCTTTTTCGTAGTAGCGCTGACATTCTAAAAAGTGGGTTATGAAGCTGTAGAACGGATACGTACGTGGTAATATCTAATATATGTAAATAAACTGGGTTGGTAGGCTCTTTAAAAAAATGTTGGGCAGATAATTATTCCATTATAAACAGCATATAAACCAGAAACAAATAACTTGGTTGATGTCGAACGTCATACGAATTAGATTAGAGAAGTGTTTATCAACAGTTCTACACTTTTATATTGAACATTTTTAAAAAAGGTAAGAACACGTTAATAGGACCAAAAGATGAACACTCACCGAACCCTTCATGTCGGAGTTGGAAGTTTTCATCATCGAATTTACGTCCATATATTGATTTGCCACCGGTCCCATCTCCTTTTACAAAATCGCCTCCTTGACACATCTGATAAGACACACATTATCAAGGATATAGTATGAAATTTGAAATATTCCATTCGTTTAGAGGTGAATTAATTAAAACAAAATAGTCAGCTAATGGATTTTGATGTTGATGAATAACAATGTTGAAAAGCAATTTGGGGCTTGTGTTAGAAACAAAGGCTACCTACCATACTACGGTCTAAAGTCTGAGGCATTTAGAGACTTTACTGTTAACCAAGAATTAGTTTTACCCAAGTTTTTTAACTTAACACATTAATATCGATAATATACCAAGATGTCTGGATTGATCTCACATCAACAGCTGTTCAGCTAAGTTTCTTGCTTCATCGTTTTACATAAATATCTATCAATTTCCTATAAAAATGCAAAAATGACCCAAAGGCATTTAAATACATTAGGTAATGGATACGAATTGTGGTATAACTCGATGGAAACAACAATTGTGATAACCGAATCCACGTTCTCCTGTACACAGGGCACGGAAGTTTTCAGCAGTTCTCGGGACAATATCTGAGCGAAGTTCCATCACTATACGACCAGCATCTCCATTTCCAATACGAATATCGAAGAATACCCGAGGAAGATTTCGTTTTTGTTTTTTGGTTCGCATTTCCTCGTCACTCTGTGAAGATTGAGTATATAATAAAAGGTAAAATTTTAAGTTGGTGTACACGTTAAACTGTAATGATATACAGAACTACTTGTAGTAGTATCACAATAGTTCTAAAATATACGTGCTTGCAGTCATAGATATTCTAATAATAGGAACTCTGAACTGCTTGAATTAATTAGAAGCAAACACTAAGTGGGAAAAGGGACTGAAGATCAGATAACCGTCAACCTTTTATCCAGACGGAAAGGAGACTGTTTCAAAGTCATCTCAAGCTACTTGCGTGGAAAGAATTAGAATGAGATAGTAACTATTTAGAGTTTGATCTAGTAATCGTACCATCTAATGAAAACTTTAAAACTATATTCGACAATTTTGATACTTGATTATAATTCCTTGAAAAAGCTTGGACCAGATTGCCGGGTGAAACGTTGAATTTACTTCAAATTCATTCGCTGAGATTTTAGAAATACATTCTTCCTCAATAATGTTTCATATCAGCTCGGCGCCCAAATACTATGAAACTACTCGATCAAATCTAGACGAAAGTTCTTATAAAAAACCAAGAACGGTCTGGAAAATTGTCTTAGTTACTGAGATTATCCAACATTTTTACTAGAGATCATTTCCCAGAAAATCGAAAAAACCGTCAAGCGTTATACTGATGTGATTAATCGCTGATATTGGTTAACAGTACATATTAATCGTTGCACATACGAAAAGCCTTGAAAATATTCAATAATATTCGATTGATTAGCTTACTTTGTAAGAAAAAACCTAAAGTTCGGAAACCGAATATGTTGATTACATACAGTATTACAAATAATAATATCCTAAACAGTATAGTATTAGGTTGGAGTGAACATTTTTTATTCTAACCTGTGCTTGCCAAGTACAACTACTCAGTAAACAGAGTAGAGTGGCAAATTTCGAAACGTGATTCGTGGGTACACAACAACATCTATTGGTAAAATCAAACTTATTGGAAAACTCCACACATTCCGATCGTATTCAAAAACGGTTCAATAAACTTAAAGAGCATTAAGATATATTAGTATTATATATACTTGTAAATATAATACTGGAACTTCAATTGCTTTTTGAGTGACGGATGAAGAATAAAGTTAGTATGACGTGGCGTGTCTATGCTGTTGCGAAGCGTGGCATTTCGAACCAATGAAGTTTTGAGAGAAATCCTAACTCGATATATCTTTGAGGTTTTCCATGCATAGATTACATCATAAACAATTTATTCCAATTTTTTAAAAGCCTTACCAAGTCTTCAACATTTTCTGAAGTATCAGATGGGTTGACGATATCAGGTTCATCCAGTTTTCTGCCTTCTAGTGGAGCACTGCCATATTTCTTTAGCCAATTCTCGTCCGACCAGACTTGAAATGTAAATTTAAATATGGAAGTATGTAGGAAACATTTTAAACTTACATAGTTTTATTCAAATCATCAACTATGGGAATATTTTACTAGTCGTAGGTCAACAGTATACCCCCAAATGCCCTGGTACGGTCGAGGGTGAAAAGAGTCAGCTCTCCCTCTCGAAGTGTTGTCACATGGCCACGCGTATACAGCCATTGCAAGGGAAGTCCCACTGACTACCTTATCGCGGTGGTGTTGTTTAAGAAATTCAGAGAACGAAAAGCGAATTCCGGCGCTTTAACCGGGTTGGTGGATACGGAGATCCACTTAGGGGAGTTGGGAAGCCCTGGTACAAAACCAATGGTGCACATGGACTCCAGGATCTTGAGCGAATAAATGGCGTATGAACGTATTGTTGGTCACCGGCTACTATGGGACTGCATCTCCTAACGTTGCTCCACTACCTAGTTGATATAACCTTCTGGTGAAATGCTTAAGTGCGGACCCCAAGGAAAACTACCTGCTTCGGTTTGGGCACCCGGGTCGTATCACAGCCCACTCACAAATCAAGTGACTTGTGCGGCGCATATGTATTCGATGCCCCCTTTGTACGAATATTTATGTGTTAAAATAAATAAATGAAATAAACAACCTAAAACGTGCCGGTGAGAGCAGTTCTGCCTTGTGCTTATGAAACTTAGCCTCTCCGAGCTGAAGATGTTGGACGAATCTCTGTGTTTGATCATCACTGTCTCCAGAGGATTTTTACATCCGATGGCAACACCATGTTAGTAATACATAGGTTTGGCATTGTGCGTTCGAGCACATCGAAAATAATTCAATTGGTGTCACCATCTTGAGACATTGACTTCGGTGGCTTGAACATGTCTTACGAATGTCGTCCCAGCGAATTCAGCATCGTGCATTATTTGCCAACACTAGGATTAGTTGGAAAAAGCGGAGATAGTCAGCGTATGACATGTTGTCGTGGTATGAAACAGAGCTGTACAGGACTGGCTTCTGATGGTCCTTCATGACTCCCTGGTTGGGGTCCTAGAGATGGTGTAACACAGTGGCTAGATACGTTATCAGACATGGCTCAGAATATCAGCCAGTGGTGATCTTTCCGTAACTTTCTTCATAAAAGTAGACGTAACTTCTTTAATTGAAATTCTTTTTGGCTATACTTTTGCTAACTGAACTGTTTCTCCCATTATTATTATTATTATTATTATTATTATTATTATTATTATTATTATTATTAATTCACTCATACACTAATTTCCGCTCGCTATTCTTCCACTTTTTCTTATACACACCTTACATTCTTTATCTCTTCACAACCTCATTTTTATTGTGGCACATACGTATTTGGTGCCCCTTTGTACCAATATTTATTTGTTCAAATAAGTAAATAAATACACAATACAATCTTAAGACAATGTGATCAACTTGTAGTAATTTTGTCACACCAACAAGCAGTAATGTCTGACAAGGTGAAATAAGTTGAGGGCGACTGTTTCCGTATGGATAAATAAATATGGATCAATAACTGAAAACCATCCAATACTCTAGCCCTTTGGAGAAAGTTAGTCATAGACGTAGAAATCAAATATTGTGAAAAAGGTTTTCCAATTTATCAACTGTTACACAAAAGGTTGGCTATTTAAACTAAATTATTACAGACGTAACAATATAAAGACATAATACTAATAAGCTACACATAACTGGTAGTACATTATGTGGCTGGCTGATTGTCTAAATGAAATGTGATTCAAATTATCTTGAAACTGAATAGTCTCAAAAATTTCGCATTTCGACAATAACAAATAATTAAAAGAACATTACCAGGTCGACTCCAACCCTCCCGTATGCGTACTGGTCTTGCCACATTAACACGAATGGTACGCCCGAATATTTCATTTTCATTCTATAAGAAAGATTGAGAAAACATAAGAATAGTTTTACCAAAGAGTGGTTTATTTCTTTGATAGGAAATCAGGTAAAAGTACATTAGTGATAAGCCAATCAAAATATTCAAAAATAAACGACTTTTATCTGATGTCACGAGCAACAGAAGTACCTTTGTGCAACGCACTAAATGATAATGAATATTGTTCCTCACTATAAAGTAAATATGATAGCGTTAAACAGATTGAATGTTCAACTCTTTCTATGTATATTGCATATAACAGGCGGATCAACACTTTTCTTAAGTCCCTATCCCTAAATTCCGGATCGTAATTTTCCAACCCTAACAATAATTCCCTGACCTTAAATCTCTAACCCTTAACGGTGAAGGAGCTCCTAAGAATCTATTTGTGTCCTTATAAGGGTATGGGAAGATGGATAATCTATATCAGCATGGACGGCTTTATGATGCTTCTTTGAATTAAAAACAGAGAGACTTCAGTGGATTTACTAATCATACAAAAATTTGTTTAGTTCTTGTAATATTACTGTTAACTTCCCATAAAATCTGTTGTTTTTTTGGTTGACTGACGTTTGTTTTATTTAAACACATAAATATATATGCGCCGCACAAATCTCATTTGATTTGAGTGAGGGCTGTGATACTTCCCAGGTGCCCAAACTGAAGCAGGTAGTTTTCTTAGGGGGCTACATCCGGAGCCTTTGACCTAAAGGTCTGATCCACAAGACAGTGGAGCATCGTGAGGATCCGAAATATTATATTCGGATCCGATTCTGGTAGGTGATAAAAGGGACGACGTTTTGTTGTTTAGCAACCTTTTTATTTATTTATTTAAACGCATACATATTGGTACAAAAGGGCACCAGATACATTTAGCAACCTAAGCTAGAGGATTTCGTGAATGCCACAACAAACAAAAGTCTCATTTCTTCTGTTTTTGAGGTGTTGGATACGATCACTGAAAGTGACAAATATTTCCTTACACATGACCCCAAAGTACAGCTCTTGTAGTGAGAGGAAACGATGTGTTTAAACATATATTTCAAAGTTATCTGATGAACCCCAGTTGACTGAAGTGACTAATGCTTTATACTTTAGTGAGGTGCTGATAGTTATTTGTTTGGACAACACTAGTATCAAGCATAAAATCTGTCTGAAACACCGAATCTGATGCTTTTGAGAAACTTTATCACACCCGAAGATATACTATGACCTCAGAAATACCCAAACTGCGTTTCTATATGTGGGAGATAATGAAAGCAAGATTAATACATTTACAACCTGAAAAAAATGTGATCTGTTCCTCTCAAGTAGCTCTGCAAGCGTTTTGTATTATGTGAACAATACAATAGCAATTTTCAATATCTTCTAAAACGATACACCCAGTTCCGTTATAGAACTTGACGATACTTCGGCAATTAGACCGCTAATCTGAATGTTAGACTCTCAAGAGTTTATAAACACGTTTTTTTGAGAAACCGAGTCCATTATCCCAGTATTTTTTCTAAATCCAAACATCACATTTATTTACAGTCTACACATTCAATCTTTATTGTTTATCTTAATATTTTCCATTTTGTGAAGAGTATATCAGATAAGTGTTTAATGATTACCTATGCGTGGTGTACATTGAACATCCTGAGTCACTTTTATCCACTGAACTGACAAGTGTTGCTAATAAGCGAACGACGTGATATTACAGACCTTGGATGAATGGTAACTGCCAGTAAGCCCCATAAATAGGTTTCGAGCTTGTTTTCATCTGTATGGGACGTGGGAATGATACATTTTTTTTACAGATTTTTCGTCTTTTTCTGACTGATTTAACGAGTGATTTATGATACACCAATTAGCAGGGATATGAACAACTATTGAGCAAACAATTTCCTAGTATAATACAAGTGGATATCTCTGTAGATCAGCCAGTAGTTAAAAATGATATATTACTGTACTAGTCTCATGTACTGAGTGAATTACGCGTTTGGTGAATAAAAGATCTCCCACAATAACATGAGTCGACACAAAGTTTACGTAAATGCAGTTGATACCATATTAGCTAAATAAAGTATATCTCCCACAGTAGTTTCCTTAAGTTATACGTGTCTGCACCATAAGTGGTGATAACCCATTACACATAATAAGGTGAAACTTCTCTCATAAATATTAGGTTTAGTTGGTGAACATTAATAATATGAAAAGTATACAAACATATGATTACCTATGACTATGTAACACTTCGAACACATAAATTGAGTTGAGAACATGAGATTCAACGTAGAAGAACCAAAACACTTCAGACTATACAACTAATACCCGTTTTGTAACTGTTATCCATTAATCAGTAGTAGGATAGAAGCTTTATAGTGCCCAGCTTAATACACTGTCCAGATTAAGCTACTGAGTGTTAATTTAAGTCATGTAAGCAATTATGGATATAATTAGTAGAGTTTGTGAGGATCGTTATAAACACTAGTAAATATGCACTCCTACTTCGCCAAAACCGCATACCAAAGTATACTTGTTTTACAACCCTGGTTCTCGGGTAAATGTTTGATCATACTAATTTTGACTACCTTGAAGTATGCTATGTAGAGAAGAAAATAGATTCTTAAGGTTTGGCGATTAATTTTGTCAACGGACCAATAACTTATTGATTCCTAACCACCCGAATAAAGTTAACACTTGAGTACGTAAATATATGTTTGGTGAATAGATTACACTATGATATGTTCAAAACAACTTATAAAATGCCTCTTATGGGGTATTTAGATGTTGAGATAGCATGATAAGGATGATAAGCTTTATTAATTTGTAAAACATAACATTCTTTAAATTAACGTGGCGCAAGAAATCTGCAACAACTATACTAATCTCGAATTTTAAACTGATTATATTTAAAATGCTACTCTGAGCTTTAAATCTCACTGGAGCACATGAAAATATAACTTACCATATTATCAATGGCACTCATAGCATCTTCAACTTCTTCGAATTCAACAAAAGCGAAACCTCTGTGTTTTTCTGACAGGAAATGAAAACAAAATGAAATTTACCAGTTTGATAGTCCATGGGCATATTAATACTAACTATGTCTCCAAAAGGGATAAACGCCGCACGAACAAGAGGTACATCAACTTGCTCTGATAGTCCCCCTATTAGAAGTTAACAATATTAGCTAAATAAATGAGAGCCTACCAACATATATAACACGCTTATTGACTGGATTGTATGAACCCGCAGGAAGCTGAAGAGGTGGTAATTCAGCCTGGAATAATGAAAAGTTATTTAAAGAAGTGAGTGAATTCGAGATTTAAAATCAAAAAGTCAAAGTACAACCAGTTTTTATTTCAAAACATTTGCGTAATTTACAAGAAAATCACCACGGGAGCTGCATAGGTTGTGGATTATGCATATAACATATTATAAGTGCGCTAATGGACAACCTAAAAATGCCACTTGTTAGTAACAAAAAAGAACAATTACATGAAGCCACTGATCAACTGTTTTGTATCTTCCCCAGTTCTTGAATTGGCATACGTTATGAAAGCACAAACGACGGCTAACCAAGCAGCGAACTTCATCTACTAGCATAGACGATTCATGTTTTCAACTTACTTCAAACAGCAGTCCGCACATGCTTAAGACTATTCCGAAAAAATTTAGATAGTCTATAGTTTGATCTAGTGGAGGTGCATCCTGTGACAATGGAACGAATCTTACTGGTTTAATAAATGATCATAAAAACATACCTTCGAAGTTTATTGGGTCTCCTAGGATCTGATGCGGCTAGCATATCTGAATTTTAGAATAGAAATACTTTATACAAATATGTAAAATGTTGCAGTAAAAAAGTAGATGCAGTTTCTGAAACGTAGCACTAAATAATGAAAAACTGTAAATGCAGCAGCTAGGTTGGAATGATGTTTTAGATATATTATTGGTGATAAATTAGAAGAAATTTTGTGGACCCACAAAAGCAGAACAAGTTGGAAAGCATTAAACTAGACTTCTGCGTACTTACCATGGTGCAATAATCACTAAAGGCTGTTTTTGAGTTGCCTATATTCTAAGTGTTTTGAAGCGTTCCTCGTAAACCCTGAACCGAAGTCCTCTGAATATTTTCGTAACTCGTCGTAATATACATTTAGGGGTATTCGGCAAGACTATAATTTACGGAACCAAACAGATTTACCATAACAGGTCTTGAATTTTGGAGCGAAATTCATCCATCCATATGGCTAAGTAGAGTTTTGGCATTAAAGCTAATGTCAGTTCGTGATTAAAACCCTATATCTAGTTCCTAACCCTAACTATCAACCGTAAATATTAATCTTAACTCCTCACACTGGCTTATAACCCTCATTCAGCCATAGTATGTAGGTGGACATCCTCAAGGTCTTTTTAGCGTCGCTCAATGGTCATCCATAAATTACAGTCTCACCGAGTATTCTTTTCCTTTTAGAGTGTAAACAAGTTTGCATAATCGTACTGGGTCTGAATAAAACTGTCAAAAATAAATGCTTTACCGTCAAATTGCTCAAAAATGCACTTCGATGTTGCTAATTCAAGGTTGGTTTTAAAAGCACTTTAGTCACAGCATATTCAATATCGTTGTGACAAGTTAGTGTAAATCAACTGATTTCTGTGACATCGCTACTCGGTGTTAAGGTACGGTTTCCAGATCTTTGGTGTCGCCTGATGTGTTCTAGCCAATTGGCCGCACTAACCTAAATGAATTTGACAATTACTTCTAGGTTGATGTCTCAAATCATCATTATCATCATCATGCCTGACGTAGAACCTGACACGTTTTAGTTGCCATGTTACAGCACAGAAACAAAATTACTTCACAAATAATTGAGTAGTAGAAGCAGGAACAGTATTAATACTAGTGAAAAAGTTAGGTATAGGAAAATAAAAAGGGGTAGAATGAGATTTTGGAACTCAGGTTTGAGAAGACAAGAATTGAATGCATTACCATTGCGAACGATTAAGTCAGTCAGTCAGTCAGTCAGTCACAACGTAGAACTTCGTACGTACGTACATCAGTTCGAGTTGCCATACCACATTAGCACAGAGATGCAGTTGTCGATTCAATTCCCATAGTGGTAGAAGTAGTAGGAGTATAATCAGAAATCCAAAAGATTAGGGTTTGAAGAAATTATTGAAGGAGTATAGTACAGTGAAATAAATTTGGAAAGAGAAAAAGATAAATACATGAGGAATTCAGAAGATTAGAATTTGGTAGAACACAAAGAGTGGATGCATCTTCGCCAATGCAAACGATTTTGAGCCATGTCATTCAAGGTCTCTAACCATCGGTTGCTGTCATCTCGCGAATCCCAACCAGGTAGTCTACACCTACCAACATGGCCCAGTCCACTTGTCAGTGACTTCATTGATTTGTGCCACGTTTTGGTCTGGCCACCCCTAGCTTTCTTCCAACCTACTCCTACACCATGAAACATTGCACGTCGGGGCAGTCGGTGGTCGGGCATACGTAACACATGTCCCAGCCATCTCAACTGATGAAGTTTCACTACTTCATCAATCGATTTGCCATCCCTACCTAGCACTCGTTTCCTAACAACTGCATTACTTACCCGGTGGTCACAGGATATACGAGCAATGCTTCAAAGACACCTATGATCGAACACTAGTAGTCTACGAATATCCTCTACTCTTATTGGCCATGTTTCACTGCCATAAAGTAGGACGGAGCGAACTGCTGCACAGTAAACCCGTCCATTGGTTGCTAGACGGATATCTCGCCTACTCCATAAATGACGCAAGTTGGCGAAAGCTAGACGAGCCTTCTGTATCCGTGCTGAGATTTCGTCACATACCAGACCACAAGGGCTGATGAGACTCCCAAGATAAGTGAAGTGGTCTACACGCTCAACTACTTCACTCCCTATCATTAGTTCAGGTGTCGATGCAACCCAATCCTGAAGTAACATTTTGTACTTCGAGGGAGAGAATCGCATCCCGAACATGCCTGCATAGTAGCTTATAGTAGTCAGAAGACTGCATTTTGTCAGCGTCTTCACCGAATAAAACTGTGTCGTCGGCGTATTCTAAGTCAACAAGTGAGCCTCCTGGTAAAAGTTCAACTCCTGGAGGTTTAGCTGATGAAAGTGCTATCTCTAAAAGTATGCCAATGACAAAGTTAAACAAGAATGGGGAGAGTGGACAGCCCTGACGAACGCCACTTGTGGTAATCAGTTCTGATGACAGTTCGCCATAGGCTCTAACTCGACCAGTTGTGTTCGAGTAGAGAGCCTTTATGAGGTTAATGTACTTCTTTGGTACTCCTTTCAGTGACAAACATTGCCATAGAACCTCACGATCAACGGAGTCAAATGCCGCCTTAAGGTCAAGAAATACTACTATTGTGGGACGTCTGAATTTGTGTCTATGTTCTAGGACCTGACGTAGGGTGAATATCTGGTCTATGCAATCACGTCCAGGTCGAAAACCAGTCTGCTTTTCTCTAGTCTGCTCTTCACGATCTTTGGTTAGGCGACCTAGTATTATTGATGCTAATATTTTAGACACTATATTAGTCAAACTGATCCCTCTGTGATTGTCACAAGAGGACTTTTGTCCTTTCTTATAGACTGGCACAATCAGTGATTGTGACCAGTCAGATGGAATTACGTCCAGTTCCCAGATTCTACCTAAGACCTCAGTCAATCTCACTGCTAGTACTGGACCACCATCCTTAAAAATCTCAGGGGTCAACCTGTCAGGGCCCGCGGCTCTCCCTCGCTTCAGATTTCTTATAGCTTTTTCAACCTCACAGAGGGTTGGAGGACTTACATCAATTTGCCATTCAGGACGACTGGGGATCGTGGGTAACTGAAGTGTGGCTGAAGGCCAGTTGAACTGATCCCTAAAGTGTTCTGCCCATCGATCCAATCTCCTGGATTGAGAATGAATAATATGCCCATCTTTATCTGAGATGGTTTCACTGATATTCGGGTTCCTAATACCGGTTTCTTTAACGAGTCTGAATAGCTGCCTACGGTTACCTATTGCCGCTGCCTTTTCCATCTCTCTTGCTTTCGCTACCCACCACTGTTCACGATCATTACGTAGGCTTCTTATAAGCCTTCGCTTAAGTTGACTCCGCTCTTCGTTATGCTCAGAGCCAGGTGGGATGACTTTACGAGCATCTATCAGTGCGGTAGATGCTGCCGAGATCCATTGTTTCTCCCTAACGTTATGGTTTACCTTACTAGCAGATATCACTGCTGTTTCTACAGCTTTTCGGATGTCATTCCACGCTGCTTCGGGGTGGACACAACTTACATGGCTGCCTAACTGTTTTCCTAGTTGTTCCTGAAATATATTCTTAGCTTGCCTATCATTAAGTAGAACCCTTAGAGGCTTCCCTGCAGTGTCTTTCCTACGACCAGTAAGTCACAGACAGATACGTGCTCGCACTAGAGCATGATCTGAATCTAAACATGTGCCCCAGAATGAGCGACAGTCTTCTATCGAGCCCCTCCATCGGAGGCTGATAGCGATGTGATCTAATTGGGTCCAACGTTGGGACGAATTCGGGGGTCGCCATGTCAAAAGATGTTTTTCCTTATGCTTAAAGTTAGTATTTGCAAGAAATAGGCGGTTATCTGAGCATAGCTGCAACAGACGATCGCCATTATCTGTTCTTTTCGCCATGACACCATAAGATCCACCCAGGTGTCTTTCCCTTTCACTTAGTTTACCTACTTGAGCATTAAAGTCACCTGCTACTATTACTACATCAGAACGCCTAGCTTCTCGGAGAAGGTCAGAAAGTTTCCTGTAGAACTCATCTTTTATATCGTCTGAGCTGCAGTCAGTGGGAGAGTAGGCAGAGACGACGAAGAGGCAACGACGAGTTTCCCTATCTTTCCGGGTCCTTACTGATCCGTTTAGTCGGACAGCGCATAGACGACTGTCTACTGGGATCCAGTCTAAAAGAGCTAGTTCTGCCCTACGACTTAATGCTATACCTACTCCAGCGCGGCCACGGGAAGCAGCATCAGGGCTTCCAGATACACGAAGCGTGTATCGAGATGAAACTTTATTTTGATTAGGTGCGGTCAAATGAATGACACTACTCGGATCTTGTATGCGCGTTTCGGAGACGCAGCACACATCGATTGTGCGAGGTTCCAAAGTCCTAGCTAAGGAGGCCTGTTGTCCTATTTGGCAGTGTCCGGACGCTAAAAGCTCTTACATGTAGTTTAGAGCGTGGTTTCAGGAGACCAGAAATAGCGTTCCGCATGCTCGGATCGTTTGTCCTAGCGGTGCGAGGTGATAAAAGGACGTAAGAAGGGTTAGTCGTGGAGATAACAGAGTTATTAGGTGTAGGAAGGATTTGAAAGCGACCAACTTGGTCTTGTGTGCAGTTAAGGGTATGAGGGCTAGTATCACTTCCCGGCTGCCCACACCGTGGAAGGGTATTTCTTGAGGGACCTGAAAAACAAGTTGGATTAGTGTTGGTCTTAACGACCTGGGAGCGTGACCGCAGTGCCCAAGGGACATCTGCTTGAGGCCGGTCACGCACGGCCTTTTTGTGGGGGATTTTTGATGTGTTAGCTCCGTTCTTCAAAAGTCCTTACCGCCGGAGACGGAAATCCGTGGGATAAGGCGAGGTGTGCATTTTTAGGGTCGACCTTTTCTAACCCCACCCCTCCTTGTGGGAAGGCAGCATCGCTGTCATGCTGGTTGTCTGAAGGAAACACCTTACTGCCGTCACACCTCTGTACAGTCGGCAGTACGACTTCGCCTTCGGACCTTGGGATTGCTGCTTTTAGTCTCACCGCTCTTCAACCGACCTGTCTGGCATGGTAGGACCTTGAGGAACGATTGTTCCAGCCAGCATAGCTCGATTGGATCATCACGATAGGCAAGCCCGACCACCACGCCAAGGTAGCAGCAACGGTCGGGACTGAAAAACAATTGTTTTGTGTTTCGGTTTTTCTAACAATGATATACAAACTACGAATAGCAGGTATCACAGTTTAGCCTTCAATGAACGATACACCAAATATCCAGACCGTATGTGAAAACCTAATTATTCAAGTCATAAGGATGTATATGATAGGTTGATAGTTAGGGTTAGGAACTAGATATAGGGTTTTAATCACGAACTGACATTAGCTTTGATGCCAAAACTCTACTTAGCCATATGGATGGATGAATTTCGCTCCAAAATTCAAGACCTGTTATGGTAAATCTGTTTGGTTCCGTAAATTATAGTCTTGAATGTTTAGGAACGCGATCATTCCGCAATTAATTGAGCTTTCAGAGGTTAATTATTCAGGTTTTATGTGAATTTCGCAAAACAGCAACACTACCTTACAATTTAGTCCGATGGATATCGACAGCTATTGTAAAACGGTTAAAAATTTACAAGCAGAAATAATTAACATCCAAGACTAAATATTGGTAATATTAAATTGTGTAGCCACTAAGTAACCACTTTTGTATACTACTTACTAGATCTCCGTGGACTACAGTTAAAGAGGTACAACTGTAACGTGATCGTTCAATGGTCCGCACTACTTCAATATTTACTATAGAGCAAACAAACCATAACATCAGAACTCTCAGTGAACTAATAAAATTTAAATGCCCGACAGAATTTCAGTTACTTGCTTCAGCTATTCAAACTGCTTAGTTTCTTTTTTTGTTTTGTAAGCAAAATGCTCGTTGAGGACTCTGAAGAATAAATAGTCTTGTCAAGTGAATAACCAAACGAGTTCGATTTTCTGCTTGAATTTGTTTCAGGTTTTGTTTTCTGACGGCTTTGAAAGTGGATATTTTGTGAAACACGTGTGGCTAGCGTTTACTGAAGTTCAGGAGTAATCTAAAATAGAATCATACAAACTGTAATCAGTGAATACTCGATAGTGAAGAATATGGCATGTAAGCAGAACAGCATGAAAAATAAATGAAGCTCCAGGTTTTCGTGCACGCGCTGTGTGTTTTCGGGCACTTCAGCGTGTTGTTTCTTTCTGTTGACAAAATTCTTACTATCTCACGTCAATTTTCACAATTTGTATACATTTTATACAGTATTTATCTCGGTAGATAATAGTTTGATATAGTAGTTGATCACGATCTCAGTGAATTTTATGTCATTTTTAACGTGTTCATCTGCATCATTCTAAACTCCAGCGAGAGAAACATGGTGTTTGTCAAGTTACGGATAAAGCATTGTCAGATTTTTAACAAAAATGGGCTTTTTAAAGCCTGTTTACATATAATATTCCACCCTAGAGAATGTTAGTAAACAAGATGTCTTGTAGTTGTTTATTATTTGGCGGTTCAAGCAATTCTTTGTTTAACTATTCTTAGGCATTGAACGGGTTCCCACCATAGGCAGTTCTTATGGAAACAAAATGGTTCAAGTGGTTCAAATGTTTGTGCACGGAGTAGAGGCAGCTTTCGTTTAGGTGCCAATATATCCTCTTCGTTGCATATCTCTCCCCAAAGTTTCACATACCAAGCGAAAATCAATAAATCATATGATACCTGTTCTGGAACATCATTTATATAAATTAAGAAATGAAGAAGCCCTAGTACTGAACCCTTGGGAGACCCCACTAGGACATCATATATCCTGGGGGAAAGTGAAGTTAACCCTGGCTTTAAAATACCGATCTCTTAAACATAAGGTAATCCAATCAATTAAAGGCGATTTGATACCCAATCTTTTTAGCTTATTGATAAGAAATATATGGTTCACCCTATCAAAGGCTTTTGAGAAGTCATCCAACGACATCTAACAGTGGGTTGGACTCTACTGGTCACGGCTTTTCACTAGAACTTCAGGAAATCCATTTTGAAACCTTGGTTTGAGACTGGTCTGTGTCAAGACCCAAAATAAGAGCACGTAGTGAAATAGTTGACCGCATAGACCGATACATATGTCTCGGCAGCCAAGTGTAGGTGGTAAAACGATAAATCAATCAATAGCTTACCACAAGAACAAAAATATCAGAGTACGAGTTCAAATGCCTTTACTTTCTAGATTTATGCAGGAATTAAACTTCCCATTCTTTCAGCAATGACTTTCCGAGTGTCTGACAGACGTCAGCCAGTCTCAGTAACTACCTACCTTTTTCTTCTAACAGTTTTACTCAGACTATCAATTATTTAAAACCGTCTGTTTGTACGGCGAGAACATAAGGAAAATAGTTTACAGCCTCATCAGCCTTCGTGATATAGTATAAAGTGAATTAAGAAAACTGCGCTGAGTCATGACAATTTAGGTCAGTTATGGGGTAGGCGACATGACTTTCAACCAAAAGACGAATATACTGATCAGTAGTTCGGCGTTTTACTTTATGATGGTGGAAAGTGGTCTTCAGAAAGGGAATTTTACGTCATTAGTACTTGATCACAATTGCCTTCGGAACACGGTTCTTATATATTGGGACCGTCAAATTATCAACTCTGAGGTTAGATGCAGAATACTAGGCAAGTATGACTAGTCAATTGATGATGCAGTCAATCTTTATCAGATGAGATGGTTAGGATGTGTATTACGTAAGCTCATCCAACAACTACCTTGGCGCGCCACGATAGCTGGTGTGGCAGTGGGTTGGCGTTTAAATCATTTTTTCGTATCTTAATTATTCTTCCATCCACACGACTAGACGTTCTCCTATATCGTTATGTGTGATGTTTAAATAAATCAATGACTTCTTCGTATTGATGACTGTTGTAATTTTGAATTCCAAATACAATACATTCGTTCGGGCTCATCTGATACTTCTTGATTAAATTGCGTTATTCCTGGAATTACTAGTTCATACTACAATTCAAATACTTCTAATTATCATATTGGCGTCGCGATGGAGCCTGCGATACAACTTCTGAAGCTTGTGAGGATTACCTTGAAAGGTTTGAGATATGGAGCATGACCAAGAAAGATATGAAGGGTGACAAAATTGTGGCACATTTTCTTACATTCATCGGTCAAGAAGCCTACAGTTTATTAAAAACCTTGGCATATCCAGATAAGCCGATTTCACTCCCATATACAACTCTCAAGGAATTACTATTAAACCATGTGAAGTGCACCAGTTTTGAGTGTCGTGAGAGAGCAAAATTTCATAAGATGATTCGTCAGGATAACCAGAAGGTTAAAGACTTCATCCTTGAATTGCAAAGACAAGCTGCCAAATGCAATTTTGGTGATCAGCTTCATGTACAGTTGAGAGATCGGTTAATTGCTGGAATTAACATACCAGGTCTGGAAAAGAGCTGTTAAGAATGCCGAACTGTTCTTTTCAAGATGCTAGAACTGCATGTATTAACTACGAAGCAGTGAATGAACTTGATATTCAATCGATGAAAATTTCTAATACTTTGCTTAGTCGTCATGATGAATTACAATCTCAGGGTCGATCAAATTTGCGTTCGTTTAATCGTGATTGCTATTCCCGTGGAAATATGAAAGGTGGTTTAACAAGGAACTGCAAAGCAAACAACAAAGGTGAGAATAAGTTTGGTAAATGCTTATCTTGTGGCAAATTTCATTTTCGTAATTCATGTGCATTTCGTAATGCTAAATGTTTTAAATGTGGCAAGATAGGACACATTCAGTCAGTGTGCAAAACTACTGTTCACTTTGCTTCAAGTATTACTAAGTCTGGTAACTTAGATCCCAATAATTCGGCTGTTCTTGATGATCATTTATCTTTATCCACTACTTCAAAAGGGAATGTTCATATTCAAAAGCGATTATATACATCCCTTGGTTCATTTCATGACTTTATTGTGGACACAGGTAGTATAGAGTCCATTATTTCATTCAAGAACTTGAAATCTTTAGATCCTAATGTTGTGGTAAAACCCACTGAGGTCTCAATACTGGGGATTACTGGACACAGACTACCTATACGAGGATGTTGTAAATTGCTAATAAGAGATGATAATTCTTCATACGTACCTTGTGAATTTTTAGTTAGTGAAACAGGACTGTCCATACTGGGTTTAAAAAATCTGAAAAGGCTTAAAGTGGAATTGTCTCTACTAGTTTCTACATAGAATTCTGATGCTTTACTCAAGGATTTGATGGCTGTGTGTGCTAAGTGTAGTGGAGGTATGAAAATTCAGCCCATTAAACTTCAAGTACAGGGTGATCCGGTCTTTCTTAAAAGACGAATAATTCCTTATGGTCTTCGAGAAGCAGTACATAAGTCACTGAATGATTTGTGTGCGAAAGGTATAATTGAACCAGTTCAGTCCTCAGCATGGGGTACTCCTATTGTTACGCCATTGAAATCGGATGGCAAGACCCCTAGAATATGCGGTGATTACAGATTGACACTGAACTCCCGTTTGTTGAAGCAAACATGCACGACGATGGAGGCTGAAGATATTCTAAATCGGCTTCATGGTTCTAAAGTGTTCTCGAAAGTTGACTTGAAAGATGCTTATCTTCAAATTCCTTTAGATCAATCTTCATCTATCTTGACAACAATTAACACTCCTTTTGATCTGTTCAAATACAACTTCCTTCCATTTGGTCTTAGTTGTTCTCCAGCCATATTTCAAGAGGTCATGAATAAGATAGTCAGCGATATTGAAGGTGTTGAAGTTTATCAAGATGATCTCATTGTTCATGGTGCTGATAAAGTAGTCCATGACCAGAGACTTATTGCTTTATTGCGTCATTTAATTGAGAAGAATATTACAGTGAATCCAAATAAGTGTTCATTTAGTGTATCTAGTTTTGAATGCCTTGGATACCTAGTTGATGGTAATGGTTTTAGACCAGATATGAAACGACTAGCTCCACTGACAAATGCACCGTCTCCAAAAAACATCACAGAATTACGTTCACTAGTGGGTGCTCTTCAGTACTATTCTCGTTTTATTCCTAATTTTTCTTGTCGTGCCAATTGTTTATTTAATATTTTGACATTCAATTCATTCAAATGGGGTGAAGAACAAGAGTCATGCCTACGAAGTCTGCTAAAGTTTCTTCAAAGTGATGCTGTCCTTCGAACTTACTCACCCAGTGTACATTCTGTTCTTATTACTGATGCGTCACCTGTAGGTATTGGTGCAGTTTTGGAACAGGAAGGTAGGCCAGTTATGTGTGTTTCACGCAAACTTTCTGTTGCTGAACAAGGTTATTCACAAACGCAGCGAGAAGCGTTAGCTGTGTTTTGGGCTGTTAAAAGACTTCATAAATATTTATTTGGAAAGAAGTTTACCATTGTTACTGATCATGAAGCCTTAAAGTTCATTTATCATCCTGACAAATCCTTAGCACGTTCCTCAGCTGCTATGGTTCAACGATGGAGTATTGCTTTGAGTGCTTATGACTATACGATTCAGCACAGGAGTGCAAAACAAATTCAACACGTTGATTACATTTCTCGACAACCATTACAAGATAGACCTGTTAATACTTCAGACTGCTTGTTAGTGCAACCTTTACCGGTGAGACGTCCAGATCTCATTAGAGAAACTCGTAGATACTTTGGATGTATACTCAGTGCTATACGGAAGGGTTGGAATGCTAATCTGAAACGTAGATTTCCTGTCTATTATTCAAAGCGGGACGAGTTATCTACTACTCCTGACGGTATTTTGTGTTTAAATGATCGTGTTGTTATTCCTCCTTCATTACGCAAACCTGTCCTTGATGATCTTCATAGTGGACATCTTGGTGTTGAGAAAATGAAGTCCTTAGCAAGACTCACATGTTGGTGGCCAGAGATAAATGCAGATATATGTCGTACAGCAAATAATTGTGATAAATGTCATAAGCTAAAAAGTCTGCCTTCGAAGTGGACTCCATGGCCAGTATCGTCTGAGGCCTGGCATAGAATTCATGCAGACTACTGTGGTCCATTTCTTGGCAAATACTATGCACTTGTAATTATTGATTCTTTTTCTAAGTGGCCTGAAGTTTTTTTCACAACTTCACCGAATTCTGACTTCACAATTCAAGCATTAAGGAAGGTGTTTAGTCGAGAAGGAGTTCCCATGGTGTTGGTGACTGATAATGGCTCTCATTTTGCTGCAGATGCAGTCACTAATTGGTTAAATGGTATAGGGTGCAGACATCTGTTTACGGCTCCCAGGCACCCTTGTTCCAATGGTCAGGCAGAAAATTTCGTAAGAACATTGAAAATTGCTATTGATTCTATTGCTGCTTCGACATTCAATGAACTGGAGAGGGGAGTAGATACATTTCTACTTCAATATAGAAATGCTAAGCATTCTGTGACGAAAGAGACTCCATCAAAGCTATTAAAAGGAAGAATTCTCCGTTCGAATATGAGGTGTTTGGAGTCTGCAGAAGTTACGTATTATCGTGGTAATGATCTTCGACCAGCCACGGGGATCGTGGTGAAGAATGTTGGAAAATCTATGGTGCGAATTCTGGATATCAATGACTTGACCATACATAACCGACACGTTGATCAAATACAATACCAGAATCCAGGTGAGTCTGTTCCAATTTCGGTTGTTAATTCTAATACTAATGAGTGCATTCTAGATAATACAGAGTCTACATCCAATACACCGTCGGACAGATGTAAGATGAACTTAAGAAGAGGACGAACAATCGATTACAGACACTTACACTCCAATTCGAGCTGTGGCGGATGTGATGTTTAAATAAATCAATGACTTCTTCGTATTGATGACTGTTGTAATTTTGAATTCCAAATACAATACATTCGTTCGGGCTCATCTGATACTTCTTGATTAAATTGCGTTATTCCTGGAATTACTAGTTCATACTACAATTCAAATACTTCTAATTATCATATTATGACAAGCCGTCACCAGTGCTATCACTTTGAGTTCACGATATGTTATTCCTGATCTCCTGAATACATGCTCCAAGCCATATATTGGGGATTTAAATGTTCAGACCTTATATCAAATAAAGTAATAAGCTTCCGATGCCAGGACTCTTGAATCTTGTGCCATCGATGAACGCTAACACAGGATTCAAGTAGTCGTTTATTTGAACCCACCTTGCCAGTATGAAGAATTGGTGCGGTCACTTATTTGAGTATCCGGAGATCCCACTGTAATTCACGTGACCTCGCCGGGGTAGGTGATGGCATTAAGTTCAATAGCAGGACAGGCCCAGTCAAACTGGATTATAACAGACGGTCGCTCGTGCGCTGTTCGACTAAACAGATCAGTGAGAGTGCGAAAAGTTAGTGACACACTCGATTGCCTATTTTGTCGCTGCAGTTAAGGCAAGGTAAAACAAGAATTTTGTGGGAAGCTATTTAACTTCCTTCAAAAAGTTAAATGCTCCGCTATAATATTGGTGGGTGATTTTGATGCCCTAGTAGGTAGACTAAACCAAACGGAAAGGCACTTGAGCGGGTCTTACGGTGTTGCAGCTGAGCGAACAAATAATGGCGACCGCCTGTTGCAACAATGCCTAAATAACCATGCATTTCTAAGGGAAACCAACTTTAAACATAAAGATAGACATCATCTGATGTGGCGACCTCCACAATCGACTCCTTGATGAACTCAAATAGATCACATTGACACTAATCATCGTTGGAGGGGCTCAATAGGAGACTGTCATTCATTCTGAGACACATGTTTGGTCTTGGATAATACTCCAGTACGTACACATATTTGTCGGCATCTAGTAAGTTAAATTATAACAACCATAGAAAGACCGTAACGAGCGTGAGAAATACAAATACATCACATTACTATTAGAACCAAGAAAAGATTTCAACAGTGTTGATGGACCGGATGAAAGATCCAGTAGACGCCCAACTTTGATATCAACAGACAGATTCTGTAAGGATCGGTCGTACACAGACCCAATCGTGACACTGCGAATGTTATGTCCCAAATAGAGTTATGAATGGTAACTTTTGAGAATTTTTTATGGGCTAATATGATACGTATATTTCCTATTGTATAACTGTTAAGTAACTTGACTATTCACATTCATGTTCCTTTTATTATAAACTTCGTTTTGACTTATGAACTATTACTAGACGGTCTACCGTTCTTTAGTTATCCTCAGTCTACTAATTATTGCCTCCCACAAATGTTATTTTCTATTTTATGGTACGATGTGGTCAGTTTGATTGCCATATAAACTCAGTATGTTTGAAATATAATGATTCATACCGGAGAGGCTGTTATTGATGTTCTAGACTTAACTGGCTGGGATAGGCAGGAGCAGGACCGATCAGTACTCTAGACTGATCGTACGGGTTTCGTGTATCATTGGTCCGATCGATAAATCACTACTCTCTAATTGGCGGCATTGGCACGTTATACATCAACAGGGTATCCAGGCGGTCACAAGTTATAACAGCGGATCAGTGTTGAATAATCAATTGAATGGAACTCGTCACTATACATCAACTCCCTTGACTATGAGAAAGCATTTGACAGCGTGGATAGAACAATATGGGGTCTTTGACGCTATGGTGTGCCTGAAAAAATCGTCAGCATCAAACGGAGTTCATACGACGAACTACAACGCAAAGTCATGCACAGAGGACAGATGCATTGCATGTGAGGACCAGCGTCAGGCAAGGCTGCTTACTCTCCCCCTTCTCTTTCTCCTGGTGGTTGACTGGATTATGAAGACCTTGACGAGAAGCACGGGATACAATGGACAGCTTGCATGTAACTATATGATTTAATCTTTGTAGATGACCTAGCTCTTCTATCGCGTACACACGAACAAATGCAGGTCAAGATAACCAGTGTGACAGAAGCCTCTGCACTAGTAGACTTCAACCATAGTGTAGGAAGGGATGACGCAGCTAGCTAGGAAACGTTCTAATGTAGTACTACAAAAGCGCAGCCAAGTCTATCATTAGTATGATAAAAAAAACTTGTCACTGCTTTTAACGCGATATAATTAGGGAGTTTTGTTGTCACTGATTTAACAACCATCTTGAAATTTTTATCAAATATGGACATTACTTCCGACACTTGAGTCAACATAAAACTGGACTCACCGAGTATACACTGCTTGTTATTGTGTTGAGCATTGTTTGGTCTATATTTTGATTCTCTATACTTGATCGTGAGTCTGGTATAACACGATGCAGTCTGTATGTAGCCTATCGACCGAGTATCTAGTTTGGTGGCAATATTTAGTTATTTAAACACATAAATATTGGTACAATGAAGCACCAGATAAATATGCGCCTCACAAATCTCATTCGATTTGTGTGAGGGCTGTGATACTGCCCAGGTGCCCAGACTGAAGCAGGTGGTTTTCATAGGGGGCCACACCCGGAGCCTTTGACCTGAATGTCTGATCCGCAAGGCAGTGGAGCATCGTGAGGAGATGCAGTCCCATAGTAGCCGGTGACCAATGACAGGTTCGTCCGCCATTCGTTCCATCAGGATACTGGAGCCCATGTGCACCATTGGTTTGGAATCAGGGTTTTCCAACTCCCCTAGGTGGACCCTCCGTGTCCACCAACCCGGTTAAAGCGCCGGACATTCGCTTCTCGTCCTCTCACTTTCGTAAACAACACCTCCGCCACGAGAAGGCAGTGAGTAGGACTTCCCTGGCAGAGGCTATATATTCGCCGGCCATATGAGAGTATTTCGAGAGGGAGAGGTGACTCTCCCCACTCTCGGCCGTACCAGGGCATTCGGTGGCAATATAATTTTAGTTTACAGTCTCATTATATTATGTCATGCTAAGCATAAAATATTTTTGTTCTCCTGTTATATTGGAAACATAACTACAAACAGAATGAACAAATATGAATGGGTTATAACTTTTTATATTATATTTGACAAATTGTCACCAAAGTCAAAAACATGTCAATTTTGCAGAGGAAGAATTCAACATTAATAACATCATCTTTGTGAACAGGTTTTTCTGTTTATCTGCCACCAGTATCACGCGCGAAAAATCCTCACTACCATTTTCACACTAAATATATGCCACTACGTACGTTAGCAAAAATAGCTATAGCTGTTTACGCTGTAAAAAATATATAGCGATTAGTGTTCCCAGGGGCTACCCGCTGATAAAACAAATTATGATCTACCTGAACAGTATAACACTAGAAACCGATTACATTCAGATGTTTTATCGTTTTTCCAGTATTACCTTTAGGGTCATTTACACAACCAACTGTGAAAAATGTTTGTTGCTTCAATAAAACGATAATAACAGAACACTTGATACAACGATTCTGTGGTACATATCATTATTATTTATTTATTTGAACACATAAATACTGATACAAGGTGGCACCAGATATAAATGCGCCACACAATTGTGTGAGGGTTATGATGCTGCCCAGGTGCCCAGACCGAAGCGGGTGGTTTTCTTAGTAGGCCACACCCAGGGCCTTTGACCTGAAGGTTCGACCCACAAGGCAGTGGAGCATCGTGAGGAGATTCAGTCGCGTGATAGCCGGTGACCAACAATAGGTTCATACGCAATTTGTTTCCTCAGGGTACTGGAGCTCATGTGCACCATTGGGTGATATGTTTATTGTTTAAATGAATATAGAAAGTTTTCTACCTTAGAAAGATGCCTAACTGCAAACCAAATAAAAATAACTTTGCAAAGATTACCTGTAAAACACGCAGAATATGTTTCTTTCATTTGCAACCTAATACATAAAGCAGTAGTCCAATCATAAGAAACACTAAATCAAGAGCTGTAACTACTATAAAGAATAAGATACATACGGAATTCGTTCAACAAATCATCCATTGGATTTTCTATCCGATACCAAAAAAATTAACCACTACTCCTAAACATGTAGAAAAGTCATGCAATTGAATCCCCTGGAACGATGTGACAGTCTCAAAAAATAAAATGCCTCAACTAATCACAACCCATAGAATTACTTATCTGATGTATTTTCCTTTTAAAAATTGGACGTAAATAAAATCAGAACGGTACGTGTTCTTCTAACCATCATAATATTTGTAGCTTACCTTGTTAAAATACCAGTAATAAATAAATTCTCAGAAAATATCACATAAAAGGGATGATGTTCCAATCACTATAAAATACATCTGTGCATCGTAAATTAAAAGTTAAAACACCATTTTAAAATTTAGACATCAACTCCAAGTGATTTTAATGCTTGCTTCAAGTATTTCACGGTTGTTTCTCTATCCTGGTAATTTGATGCACTCAATGCACATTTGATATCTTTTTCTACATTCAACCACTTTTTTGTTGTAATATTATATTCAGATGGAGATGGATCAGGATTAGGCGGTTGTTCAGGTATGCAAGTGGTGGGGATTTCATGAGGTTGTTGATTTGTTTCATTATTGAAGAGATCATTTGTATCTGTTAGTCCAGAAATATCTACACAAGTGAAATTAATTTCAAATGAAAAATTTAAAATAAATGTTATGAAAATATCTGTCGCACGATCTAAGCAGAATTTTGTGGAAGGTTAAAGTATCACCTAAATTTCCGAATAAAAACAACAATACTATATTTATTTACAATTCTAGCTACACGCCAATATATCCAAACGAACGAAAAACTGTTTGAGTAGTATATTTACTTCTAATTCTGACTACAGTAATTTATTTTATTAGAAATTGCATTGCTATTTTGAAGCTTAATTACTGATTAGTGATCAATATATACAAGCTGGAAACACCATTATTTTTATTATTATTATTTTGTTAACGTCTTCTGTGAACAGGGTAATGTTATCTTCTTACCCAAAAAATTATGGTGGACAAGCCTCTCTGAGATTGCAGCGATAATCACAACTTTCTGACAGAAATGCTTCACACAGGTAACAAGCCTATCTAAACCATAAAACATTTTGTCACTACAATTTCTCTAAACGACCAAGCAATAAAAAAATAAATTCAGTATTCAGAACTTTCTTCTTGTGTGTACCATTATGAATTTTCTAAGTGGCTATATATCAATGTTCAATAATCCCAGTCTAAAAACTTAATTAAATGAAGAGTCAATTATAAGCAGAGATGGATAGTTGCTAGCAGTGGAATCCAAGACGAGCGTTTCGTTCTATTTGGGACTCGTCAGCTGGATGTACCTGCATCTCAGAGTTGAGGCTCACTCTGGGACTTAAACCCAGTACCTTTCGCCTCAAACGCCATTGTGTTATCTACTCAGCTACTGAGTCCTGATAGCCACTTGGTTGTGCAATGGGGTGAAGTTTGAATTCAATTAATATTGTTTGCTTGAATCTTCCCATTGATGCTTAAGACTGAAACTGGTCAGTCTCTTATTGGCCATATGTGCATACTGTGCGTCAATGGGAAGATTCAAACAAACAATACTAAGTGAATGAAAAGTCAATTAGTTTCATATAGCTTTCATCTTCGTCCTAACAGTAAGGCAGATGAATAAGAAGAGAACACCCTGATAATAAAAACAAGAAGTGAAGTAAGACAGGGCAGCTATTTCAGGATTGTAGTCTAGACTAGTTTAAATAAGAGTATCAGCCTTCTAGCAATACTAACATCAAATAAAATCAGTAATCATCTCAGTAAGCGTAAAATCTCCAGCTGAAGAAGAAACTAGTAAAAAACAATGAAAGTGGATAGGGCAAACATTGCGGAAATCAGCAAACTGCATCACGAGGAAGGTGCTAACTTGGAACCCTGAAGGAGAATGGAAAAGGGGAAGACAAAGGAACACATTAAGTCGAGATTGGAAGCAGATATCGAAAGGATAAATAGCAACTGGAAAGGAGTGTTCAATACATAGGTGAGTGGAGAATGCTGGTGGGCAGCCTATGCTGCACGATGAAGGGTAGTAACAGATGTAAGCACGCGTAAAGTGACAAACAAATCAGAAAGCAATAGGTACATAAAGCTGATATATCTACATACTAATAAATCACTTTATCGTACATTCGTTATATATGTAGTACATCCAGTATAATCCCGCTACCTAAAATTAATACTTTCCACTAGTTGACTTCGTCACGTAAGGATAGTGTTTAACGTTTTAATAGCCTTCTTATGTCCTTTAGGACAAAGCATATTGCAGGAGGTTATACTCTTGTCCCAATACAAAAAGTGTGTCATTAGTGATATGATAAGTGAAGAAGTAACAAGATTCAGGGATAGTGAAAGCATCATATAATAAATGAATTAGTTGGTGGAAATGAGTTCTTATATTTGAAATAGGTGTAAGTATAGAACATATCTGAGCCTTCAAGTAACATTTACTAGGTGAGAAACGAGAACTAAGTTGTTTAGAAAACATTTAATTAAAAAAATATTTGCTTAATATATTTAGGGGTTTCGGCTTAATAGCACTTCGGTGCGCAACACCAACCTTCCGAAATCAGTGAGCCAAAATGCTACTTCCAGAGGAGTGCTTTAAAAGTTGAAGTTGTGAAGACGGCAACCTATCATAAACTGATGTTAATTCACTAAACCATAACTTTGTGTTGGTTGGCAAGTAGCTTCGAGATAGATTCTCAGACGTCGTGATGTGGGACTATGATCTACGGGGTCAACTGAATTATGAAAAAACAGAGACTCCCTGGTGACATAAGATGAGGATTGAGCTATTGTACAAATTGATTGAAAATGAAAATATAAACCAATAAATTATGGTTCCCCATTTTGCCGTGAAGCCTCATAGTTAAGGGATAGATTCAGAGTAAGATCACGGTAACATATTGTTGAGCAGTTTTAAACCAAGAGAAATCCGCTGTTAAGTGCTTCCAGGTTGCCGAAATTTCGATCAAATACGTCAGTTAGTGATGAAAATTACCTTTAAATATTTATGCACGTGCATAATTTAAGTGGATATAAATTTTAGTACGCAGTTATTTAAATATATGAAACTAGACACACAAACTACTAGTACAAATCATTTATTCTTATGTATACTCAAGAAAGCTAATTGAACATCGTACTAATAACTACATACTACTCAAATGCAAAAAACTGATGATTAGACAGTGATAAAAAAGGACTGGAATGTCCCTTCAGCGAAGTGCCTAGTTTTTATCGACTGAAAAAAGGAGGACGTGTAATTTTTAAAGACCACAACAAGGAAATCAAAAATTCCTTTATTTAGTGTGAAATATTTACTGGTGTAAATTTTGGTGTGTAAACCGAATTTATTTGAAGAAACCTAGTGACTTCGAGAAACCGGAAAAATTTACGATGCTATGTATGAAAGTCAAAGGTCTATGCCGATATACTAGACTTTAGAGTGAGTGTTGTTTCTGAAATTCCACTAATAACCATCAGTGAAAGCTATCAGAATGTCACATATAAAAACATTGTTCAGCTGGCAGAGAAGGTGAATTCTTCAGTAAAAACAAGTTGGTTTGAGTTAGGAAACTGAAGAGTTGTTATCACAACTAGTACACGTCACATATAAGGTTATTGGAATAGGTTAAAGTGTAGCGCTTTGTATCTGAACCAATTATGGAGCATGAGTTCCACTGCAAAAATGAAACTACTGAGGTTTGAATACAAAAAGCAAATGAATCTCAAATAAGGCTTCCTTACAAGCAACCAAGAAAATCTGCTTATGTGCAACAGTCTTAAGCAAACAATTCTTATACATACAAAAGAATAACGTACTTGGGGTGTAAGCAGCTTCGGTGTTAGGAATAGGACCAGCTACTGGAACTTCGCCAGACTTCAAGCATTTGCTGATGTAAACGGCCTTCCATTTGGCATACTTTCTAGTCTTTTCGATCTAGCATTAGAAAAAAAGTATATCACCGGATGAGTAAATAATAGCTCACATCATCACCTACTTCTCCAACTCCAGAAACAACGTCTAAGAGCGTAGCAGCTGAAAGAAATAATTTTACAGTAGCACTTAAGCCTGTTAAAAGATTATATCATACATACGGTCCGAAGTCGGAATTTATATCCCTTTGGTAAGCAGCATCAAACAACTTGAGAGCATACTGTTCAACATAAGGAATCCCAACAGTTTCATTCGTAATTTCTTCACAGTTTGAATTACTTTTCTTTAGTTCTTCTAACTTATCCATGAGAGTTGTTAAAAATGCTTTGATAGGGGGTGATTTTTGATTCAGACTTAAACCTTTTTGAAATGCATGCAGCAGACCTGAGGAATCATATATTAAGACTAATTGAAAAACTTACAGTAGTATGTGATAGTGGGATTTTTCGCCGAGTGATCCGAAGCACATCTTAAGAACACGTTCAAATGGGAGAGTTCTTTCGGCACGTTTGAAAAATTCATTATTTACAGCTGGATCTGGTAATGCAAGGAGGGAATCGCGATTATGTAATCGAAAAAGATCAGGGAAACAAATGTTAATTGAATAACACTGGAAATGAAACTGACCCGTATCTATTCCAGAGATAAAAGTAATGACAGAACAAAATAACAAGATCTTTAAGAAAACCAAAGATAATATTTCAATACAATATGAAGCAAACTAAGACATGAAAATAATACCAAAAGCTTTTGATTTTGGAGAACCGTATAACCTGAATGAACACAAAAGGAGGATTAACTGAAGGATAACATGAAGGCAATTACAAAAGAGACATTTATATGATGCATGGAAAGGCCATTTACAAAGAGTGGTTATATAAACAGTGAAAAACAATAGATAGTTGAACAAAAAACATTCATAGGTAAAACGAAGCCGAAAAACTTCTAGTCAATTGATAAATTCATAATACTTCATGGTGAACCGCTCATAGTGCCCCCAAATGCCCTGGTACGGCCGACAGTGCGGAGAGTCCGCTCTCCCTCTCGAAATGCCCTTACATGGCCACGCGAATATATAGAATCTGCCAGGGAAGTCCTACTCACTGCCTTCTCGTGGCGGAGGTGTTGTTTACGAAAGTGAGAAGACGAAAAGCGAATGTCCGGCGCTTTAACCGGGTTGGTGGACATGGAGGGTCCACCTAGAGGAGTTGGAAAACCCTGATTTCAAACCAATGGTACACATGGGCTAAAGGATCTTGATGGAACGAATGGCGTATGAACCTATTGTTGGTCACCGGCTACTATGGGACTGCATCTCCTCACGATGCTCCACTGCCTTGTGGATCAGACCTTTAGGTCAAAGGCTCGGGGTGTGGCCCCATAAGAAAACCACCTGCTTCAATCTGGGCAGTATCTCAGCCCTCACATAAATCAAATGAGATTTGTGGGGCGCATATTTATCTGGTGCTTTTTGTACCAATATTTATGTCTTTAAATAAAATTATAAAAAAGAACCGCTCATTAGTGCTATTACTTGGCACTCACACTACTACACTAAAACATTTCACATATGTTTAAGATGAATGAAAACGAAGAAAAACTGGGGGCTTGAAACACTCGAGCCAGTAATCACAGAACCGCACCCTGCTCTGACTGCTGAAATGATCCCAATTATTAAGTAATCCTTTATGTATTTCAGTCTAAGTCACAGTTTGAGCGCAAACTTACGATGCAGCCGCGGAGTTAAAAACCCATCGAAGTGGAGTCGGGAATCGAAATTCGACTGGTGTAACAACAGAGACTGGGAGGAAAAGTTCCAAGTTTTGTTCTGACTGTCGAATGTTGCCTTCTTCTGTCAACTGGATGAGAGATACGCACCTGTCTACACTTTTAAATACCAGATTTTATAGTTAGACCTGGATAAGAAAGTCATCTAATCAATTAGACCCTATACTGAATCTCTAATATTCAAGTTCGAGGTCTGGCAAATATACGCTCCTTCTGAGGAACGTGTTTAGTTTTTGACTACTTAACGTTAAGATTGAATTTGTCTTCGCTATACTAAAAGCAAAAATAATTGACAGGAAGTCCTACTTAAACTCAGTTTAGAATTGAGAGGGTTGTTTAAAATAGGGTTAAGCAGAGCATTCCGATGTGACCTAGAATGTTCTGTAATCTACTGTAGACGGTAGTGGTGCATAACAGCAACCTGAAGTCAAGAGAGACATGTGGATTTCAGTACGTGCTCTACAGATAAAGGCTTGGAAACTTATGCGAGTATGCTCCGAAAATATAAGTGCGGAGATATAACTTATAGGAAATTTATAAACAGCCTACTAAGTGAAAGAGAACAGAGGGGGGGGCAAGGAAGCCATAGAAGATGGAAAAGGCAGCGACAACAGTAAGGGATATACAATTACTCAAGGAGACGGGATAAGAAACCAGATGTTAGCGAAACTATCTCCGTGATCTAATTCCGGACCGGAAAGTTGCAACCATGGATTGAAAACGTGAAAAAATAATTTGACCGACTTCAGAACCGTGTGTAAAATTTACAATCTATTAGTTTTCATAAGCGTTTGATGCTTACATGAGGGATCACGACATCAAACTCGAGAAAACCTAACAGGTTTTAAACATGGCCTGCAATATGTTGGCTGGAACCACAGTTTTCGACATACAGGATTTAGGCATACATATTGATACCCAATTAAAGTTATATTATTTTGAATGAAGTTACATTTGATCTCGTTGAAAGAACTTACGACAGAATTCGTCCTTATTTATTTAACCACATAAAAATCGGTATTTATTTATTAGTTATTTAAACATAAACATTGATATAAGTGGGAACCAGATACATATGCGCTACGCAAATTTCATTTGATTTGTGTGAGGGCTGTGATACTGCCCGGGTGCTCAGACCGGGCCACACCCGGAGCCTTCAACTTAAAAGCCTACTCCACAAGGCAGTGGAGCAACGTTAGGAGATGCAGTCCCATGATAGCTGGTGACCGATGATTGGTTCATACGCCATTTGTTCCCTCAGGATACTAGAGCTCATGTGCACCATTAGTTTGGAATTAAGGTTTTCCAACTCCCCTGAGTGGACTTTCCGTGTCCACTAATCTGGTTAAAGCGCCGGACATTCGCTTTTCGTCCTCTCAATTTCGTAAACAACAGTAGTGCCACGGGAAGGCAGTGGGTAGGATTTCCCTGACAGAGGCTGTATACGCGTGGCCATGTAAGAGCATTTTGAGAGGGAGCGGACTCTCCGCACTGTCGGACGCACCAGGGCATTTGGGGGCTTAAAATAGAAACACAACATCGGTACAAGGGGGCATCAAATATATGTGCGCCACACAGCTCATTTGATTTGTGTGAGGGTTAAAATAATGCCCGAACGTTATAAGGTTACCGGAACGTGCGTAAAATTACTAAGGGATTTCTTACTTAAATGTCAAACTGACTCAGAGTTTATGACGAGATGTCATTGGGAATGACCACACCGAGTGATGTAAGTCAAGGGTGCCAACTTTCTCCGTTACAGATACGCTTAGGCAATATTTCGTACGACTTTTCAGAAACTAACCTTTTCAATAAAGTCAGGAAAAACGTGGATACAGGATAATATGTCGTGGTTTCTCATTAGCCATCTACGACCCTTTACTTGTAATCTCATTTGGCGATTTAGAACATACGGGTGGAACCATTTTCACTACTGCACTTAGAGATCGATACAACTATTACGCAAACTACTAGGAGATAGGTTATGTGCCCAGTAAGCACACCTGGATATAAGTTGTTGGAATAATAAATAGTACTCTAGTGGCAATGCTTTCTGGTTATTCCTCAAAAACGAGACATAGCATCTGTCTAAAAGCAATCCGTATAGTGAAAGTCTGTGACACCAAATTGTCATCCGCGAATTATACATCGCATCACCTACGTAGGTGGTGGTACTAGATAGGTATATTTGTCTCCGTAGTCACGTGGCATTGCTATTCTTTGCAAGGTGTAACCTAAAGCCTAGAATAAAAACTTAAGCCTAGTTTCTCAGTATCAACACGAGATGCAACCCTTAGCGTCAGCTTACGTATGGACTAAGAACCTTAACAGTACGTACAAATGATCGTGTTATCACAGGAAACCCATTCATTTATGTTCCATCCATTTTAAAAATAACCATGTTCTCATATACTCAGTGATGGTAGGATAAGAGAATTGGTAATTTTTAAAAAGGGAAGAAACTTTAATGAATGAGTTTTCTATGACAATCAGACGAAAGTTATAACCCCTTCTTACATGGATACATGAGACTAACATTTATTATTAGAAGCCGAAAAATCGGGGTCCGAACAAGCAACCCGAAAAGTTAAGTTTTATGAGTCTATAAACATCGCTAAATATCACAGATCTTAAGAGAGAAAAGAGACACAACGCAACCAACACAAAGGAGCGCCTCCCAATGATCAATTTCCGAAACAGTTTTGCTTAGGCTGATTAGTATTTTTTTTAGACCGATTCTTGTTGTTTTAGCAAGATGACAGTTATTATAATACTCTCAGAAGGTGGTAGCCTAACCATTTAACTGCATCAGTTTATTCATCTTGAGAGTTATTTGGTACCTTAACCCGTTACCCCTCGTGGAAGAACATAAACCGCCCACCAGCATTCTACATCGACCTCTCTCTTGAACAATACTTTCCAGTCACTATTTATCCTTTTTATGTCTACTTCCAATTCTTGAGGCTGTATGCTCTTTGATTTTCCTCTTTTCCGTTCCCCTTTAGGATTCCTTGTTAGCGCCTTTCTCGTGATACAGTTTTATGATTTTCGCAATGTATACCCTATCCACTTTCATCGTTTTTTCCTAACTTCCTCTTCAAATGAATGCTGGGTTAATACTTCCACGGTTAGCTGTTAGTGATGGTATTTGACCAACGGACATTGAGAATCTAGTGCAGACAGTTGTTTATAAATACTTTGATGGTGCAACGGATGTTCTAGTTTTACAACTAGCTACCAGTAGCACCTTCTATATTTGATCGTTCCCAGTCAGATAGAAATCAGAAGTCAGACGAGAAGAGGCAGGAAAGATATATTTGATTCGTTACCAATATATCGAGGATCTTTTCTATGAGCTGGCTAATGAAACGTAGGAGCTGTGTCCCACGCCGAGTCGAAACGTGATCTGGTGCGGATGCATGACCGAAAGCCTTCGGCTAAACAAGTCCACTTAAACAACGTGGTCAGCATCCTATGTCGAACACTTAATGAGCTATTGATTTTGGGGAATTATTTACAGCTACAGATCACTCCCCCCCTAGTGAGGTAGTGATGCCCCTAAGACGTGACCAGCCAGAAGTTTAAACCCAACGAGTTTGTCGTTGGTAAACACTCTTCTGATAGCTTGCTTCGTTTAGCAGCGTCTGGTCGTCTTTCCTTAAACTATGGGACCAAAATGTACAACGTAGCAATAAAGAAATATAGTACAATGAAAATTTCTGTTCCTTGCGAAACTTCGTCGTTCTTTTCCAGCCGTCCTGGAAAAGAGGAAAAATAAAACGTGCGAGTGCATGTCAAAAATACACTCGTACTTGCGTAAGGACACAAGATGAGCGGAAAAAAATAAACTGATACACTTACAAACAGCGTAAAAGCGATCGGAAAAAAGGTTTTCTTTTGGGTTTTTTTTCAATATATAAATATATATATATATATATATACGCTCAAAAAAAATGTTTTTTTTGTTTTTTTTACATAAATAAAAAAATGAGCATATTAAAAAAAATTTATAATAAACTTTGAAAGAGTAATTCAAGATAAAGCTTATGTCCTACGTGCAATATTCGTTAAGATGTTCTGGAAATCTTACTCGTCTTCCAGAACGCGTTGTTTTAGGTTTTTCTATCGACGTTGACGAAGTATCAAGTTGTGTGTCGGTTGTCGTGTAGGGTACTACGAGTGTAGTAGCTGTGTCGTTTGCTTGTACCGAAGGAAAATCGACGTAG